GGGGGGGGGCTGAGGGGGAGGGGCGTACTCTTGTGATTTGCATGCCTTGGCGGTTAGACCATTGAGCATGCGTCCTCGAGAGGACGGAGCATTGTTCCCACAGGACCGATCACCGATGGCCAATCGTTCCTTTCTACTTTGCCAAAGGTGGCTCAAAAATGTCTTCCCTAGTCTNACGGAGCATTGTTCCCACAGGACCGATCACCGATGGCCAATCAATCGTTCCTTTTGAGGGAGAGGGGGGTGTTTTCCACCAAGTTTCGTTAAACACTGAGGTGCACTGCATCAGCTCTACAGCAGAGGTCCCTGTTTAGTGCCGGTTGAATAGTGCCGATTGCCGGTATACTGCCGGTGTTTTCGGCTCGCACACACTGGAATAATATCAAGTCGATCTGTACTTTGAATAGTGCCGGTGCCCGGTATAGTGCCGGTGAAATCTTTGCGCACACCCCGGCGCTAAACAGGGACTTCTACTGTATCTCATCTGCCGTTGAGATATTTTTCTTTTTTTGTTAGAGAGGTAGTCTACAATGTACCCTATCGTCCGATACCTAGAAACACTTGAAACTCGTTCTCATGCCCGAGAACGAGCTGTTGGCGCGAGAGGTGGCTTAATTAAGCGTTCTTTCATTGGCCGGTTTACTCTAAACCTCAGTAACCATAATGGTGGTCGAGTAGATCATGTTGTGCGGGGTGGAGAACCCTCACTCCGCGCAAGGGGGATAATCGCACCACGTTGTGTTCAATTGGTCAAGCACCCTCGAGGCAGCACTGTACAAATATCTCCGGAAGTGAAAGCACCAGAAAATAAATTAAGTCATACGCAGCTGTCATCCGTACGCAAGGAAGTAAGCACAAGATGCCGAACACCCTTAGCAGGATGCAGCGCACCCTTCATGCGACTCGCCGAATATCTCACGGCGCTTCGCGCTTGGTGATGTGAGAGCCTGGTCCGGTGAGAACCCGGCGTGCTCCGTCCCGGCTTTGTAGGGATGCGAGGTCAATGGTCTAACGACTACGGCATGCACGACTATGAGTACACCCGCCCCTTCCTTCGGAATCAATCACCATGAAGGTGTGTTGAACTCTCTTGTCCGAACACACGTAGGTGCAGGCTGTTGTTGGTTTTCGTTGTTCTCCTTCTCTTGATTTAGGTTTTCCCAAGTCAATTCACAAGATCTCAAGCACACATGATCACCGGACCGCACGCACACTAAACAGGAAGGCACATGCCTCGGCATACAGGCCTACTAATAATCTAGCATGACGTCACATCATAGCATCTGACGACGCCAAATACCCATGGTCAACCACGATCACGTGTCTTTACCTCCAAATACCACAATAATAGCACTAGCCCACCCTGAGTGGTCGTAGATGCAGATTCAGAAGCAACCCTCGGACAGACTCTATTTAGTCAATCAAGAGGATTGCGGGGTGGATCGAAGATGCGACAACTCAAAACCCTCACCCGCACCTCGCCGTTAACCCAACAAGAAAAGAAAACAAGGAAGCCAAGCGGCAAAGTCGGCGGACAAAGTCGGGAAAAAACACGCTGGGCGCGAAAAATAACCAAAACATCCGAACCGAAAATACCATAACACGAAGTGACGAAATCGTGAAGGGAAAATCACAAACGACTTCGCACGGACGAACAGGCCGATTACGCAATAAAGAAAGAAAGCCAGAGCTTTACGGGAGAGGGAACCCCAAACGAAAGTCAAGCCTGTCACGGCATACCATCAACAACATGGAAAACCTTGAAGGGTCAATCAGCTAGGATCGAAAACTCGCCGAAGGAGGGGGTTTCTGGGGGAAAACAAATAACGATGGCCAACGGGCAGGACACAAACGTCATAAAAAGGATCATTCGCATGTCACGAGCAACGTGCTCGCGATAAAGGGGGGCGTGCGAAAAACCATCCAAACTTTACGTCAAGGCCAATTGCACGAAAAACATGCGAAGGGTGTAGCAGCATGGAACACGTCGGCCGTGGCATGCAATAGAAGCACTGGCGGAACGTCGGACCATAAAAAAACGCAAAGCAAGCCATAGACGGGACGTTAACGATGCACACCGGGGGCGGCACCACAACGAGGAAGAAGCCTAGGTCGACTTGAAAAAAAACAGTAAAACGAGAAGCGAAAACTTTCGGCAACCGACCGACATATGACAAACGGCGGCGGAAAAGTAGGCAACACGAATGAATGCAAGAGCCAGTCAAGGGATTGAGAGAGCGAGCGGAAAACACAAAAGAGCCAAAATAGCCAGTCTCAACAACAATCGAACATAGGCAGGCGTGGATGCCAACAAAAACAAACAGAATTGACAACCTGAAGAACCAACAAGAGTGTGTAGACGGAGTCAATACGCTCCCGAAAACTACTACTTCTTCAGAAAGTGTGAAGTACGGAAAGAAAGGAAGGGGTGCACGCCTGCCAGCCCCACACAAAAGATTGAACCCCAAATCCTTCGTCAGGCCGAAAAGGACACAAATACTACAGAAAACAACAATATACATATACGTCTCTCGCTTTGCTCTGTTGAAACGTCCAGGCAAGAAGATCGGGAGCGCGTATCTGCACGTACGGAACAAAATACCAAGAACGGAGAACGTTGAAGAAACGCCGCACGCAGCAAACACGTGCGAACAGCTATATCTAGAACCTGCATGTACGATGTGTCGGGCAATCGTATGATACGACCCCTGTTTCTCGATTGGGCCTGTCGACCCCCCCTCGTGCTACGTAATCCTAACTCGAAACCAAGCGCTTTTTGTTCGACTGACTGCACATCGGCAGAAGATGCAGGAAGGATAGGGGGGGGGGGGGGA